ACAAAAACAACAACAACAACAGCAACAACAACAGCAACAACAACAACAACAACAACAACAACAAAAACAACAACAACAACAGCAACAACAACAGCAACAACAACAACAACAACAACAACAACAAAAACAACAACAACAACAGCAACAACAACAGCAACAACAACAACTACAAAAGAAATAACTTACCGGCCACTGATGACGAGGTCTGGGTCGGCGTGACCTTCATCTTCGCCATGATCCGCTCCCTTCTCCGCGGAGTCCATGAGGGCGGCAGAAGATGCAACCTTGCGGAAGTTCTGACAGAAAGGAAGAAAACATTAAATATTTTTGTGGAGTCAACGTTACATAAATCTGATAGAAACAAGCAGACAGATACAAGAAAGGCTATTCTCTTTGTTTAGAGCATATTATGTAACGCCTTTACCAAGGCGAGGAATTACATGTTTAATCCATAGCACCGATGTCATAACTTTCTCCTCGATTAAAAATTGAACAGATTTCAAAACCTCTACACACAACATAAACTCTCTTTCTATCTCTTTTTCGCCTCTCTTTGTCTCCCCCCCCCCTCTCTCTCTCTCTCTCTCTCTCTCTCTCTCTCTCTCTCTCTCTCTCTCTCTCTCTGTCTCTTTCTTTTATATCTCTCCCTATCTGGATGAAGGTATGAATCTTATTAAGCTTCGCTGAGTACCTGTCTCTATTTTACTCATACAAAATGTTGTATGACCTCTCCACCCCCGCCTTCCATCCTACACCACCCCATTTTCAGCATCCAACCATGATTCAAAAGCACCATAATATCCCTCTTCTATTATAGCAAAGTGTTAACGCTGCGTGTTAGGAAACATAAGTTACGTGACTAGTGTCTACTCTTGCCTGATCTGGGACTTTGTCAGGGGGCTCAATTCTGATCTTGGGGTCCCACTCTCCAGGTGGCAGCACAGTCACCTGCTCCAAGAACTCGTCAATTCCGGCCACAATGTCGTCGCGACAACGAGCTTTGTAGGCCACCTCACGGAACACCTGCATGATGAAGCGTTGTATGTACAAGAAGATACATAGTTTACTTCGGTACAATACAAATTCTTTTGTACTTTGGTGAGTTGAAACTGGAACATTCATCTGTTCACCCTCAAATGTATCGAATCTGTTTTTATCTTGCCTTCCCTCGCCTTTATCTTATCTTGCATTGTCTTGTCTTGTTTTGTCTGACAAAATAATTGTTGATTTATCTTGCCTTATATGGGCTTATTTTGCCCTTAATTACTCTATTTTATCTTCACTAGAAGTGTTTTTTCTATTTTTACTTAATTTCGTATTGTCTTAATTTTAAGTGACTTTTCTTTCCTTCACTTTCCTAGACCTATCTTCCTTTAACGGGTTTTGTTTCATCTTATCTGAACGTTGTGAGAGCACAGACGCGTAAATTATTCCACTAACGTATAGCCCTTGTCACTATGATAATGACGATTATTATTAGTGTTTTACAAACCTCGTCGACCAGCATGGTAGACAAGCAACGTCCGCATTCTTGTGCCTCCGCCAAGGCGTTCTTTGGTCCAAACAAGAAGAAAACAAACCTGAAAAGAAATAGCGAACACCGAAAATCATCTAAATGAGGAGATAAACCATACTTTGAATATTCCTTATTTTTCCCTCACGGGCTGTATTGTTTCGTTTTTGGTTGTGTTTTTTTTTTCGTTGATAGTTTTAGGTTAAAAACTATTAGTTTCATGCATATAAGTATAAGCACACGGAATTAAGCGTACATAATTATACGTTTTACTTCTTAGATTATTATTTCCAAAACAATCACGTCACGAACACAAACTTAATAGCAGACGAAAGTTTAGGATGTCTGCTTTCAATTTCTACCTCTACTTTTCCACATAATCACCATCTCTGTGAACACAAGAGTAACAAGTCTTTCCACCGCATCGACGAGAAATTCAAGCGGTTTTCCTTTGCAGCACCAACGCACATCTGCTTCGATTTCTGTATCGTCGTTATACAATTGATTTTCTTTCAAGTGTTAGCCTGTACACTGTCACTAGGGACAAATCACGGATTTTCTATTAAGACCCAGATAGCAAGAGTATAATCCATGCAATTCAGTTAGGAGGTTCGCGAGGTCCCAAAAAGTTCAACATTGCCCGTTCTGCTGGGAAAGTGCTCTTGGCTATGCTTTAGGATTATGAATGCATATAGAATTCTTGAAGCAATGTAACACTGTCAATAATGATCGATACATGGAGACTATTTAAACACCTCAGGCACATAATTTATTACAAGTTTGGCTAGGAGAAAATGCCATTCTCTTTCATTACAATGCTAATCTACACATGGGCCAAAAGGCCAAGGATGCCATAATGCGATCCAGATTCCACGATCCTCCTTTCTTTTGTTCAGATCTCAAACATCCAACTTGTAGGAACGACAATGCAAACAAATCGGGTAAAAAGAAAAACCACTTGAATGATCCACCGACACATTGAAGAGACGTTTTGCTTGTACATGGGAACAAAATTGGATGCTTATCCCACCCTATCCCACCCCACCATGTATCTCTCTCTCTCTCTCTCTCTCTCTCTCTCTCTCTCTCTCTCTCTCTCTCTTCTATTTGTGTAAAGAAAGAGAGAGAATGAGTGAGGAAAGGTAGAATGAGTTAGATAAATTGATAGATAGATAGAGAGAGAGAGGGGGGGGAGAAAGACACACACACAGAGGGAGAGAAAAAGGGAGAGAGAGAGACGGAGAGAGAGAGAGAAAGAGAAAGAGAGAGAGAGAGAGAGAGAGAGAGAGAGAGAGAGAGAGAGAGAGAGAAAGAGGGAGAGAGTGGGGGGGGGGAGGGTGAGGTTTAATAAAGATTGATGATAATGTGCGCACCTGTGTCTTTGTAAAGTTTAATAATATATTAAAGTTTTGTTATTTTACTGATTTTAAAGTATACAGAACCGCACTGAAATGGGTGCTGTATAAAATAAATTTACTGTTATTATTATTATTGTTATTATTATTATTATTATTATTATTATTATTATTATTATTATTATTATTATTATTATTATTATCATTGTTATTATTAATAGTATCAACATTATTGGTATTATCATTATTATTATTATTTTTATTTTTATTTTTATTATTATTCTTATCATTATTATTATTATTTTCATTATTATTACTATTATTATTTTATGTAAACAGTATTAATACTATTTATACAACGGGCTTTGAGTCAACATGTATTGAATGCGCACACGCTTTCACACGATTGTGGCTTTTGATCAATCTAAAGTCTCCGCGCACTTACCTCGTGGGTAGGTTCACCTCCGAGAGGTCGCCCAGGATCCGGGCGTCGTTCAGTCGCAGGAGGCCACAGACGTACGAGTTGAGTTCCTCCACTTCTGCCACCATCACATTGGCCACCTCGCTGCCCTTAGGAATTTTCCGCAAGAAGCGCTCGTTTTGCTGGGAAAACAAAAACGCAAATGTTTTGGTTACCCCTGTTTCTTTCTTTTTTGGGGGTAAGAGTTACGCCACTTGCAACACATTAAGGTCATATAAGTTCCGTAGATAAGAGTTGTTACATGAGTAACACATAAAAAGGAAGGGGGAGAGATAAGGACGATAGATGTTTGATAGGAAAGAAGGAGAAAACCACACCAGAGCACCCGCCAACCACCCACTGTTTCTGAGGGCATTGATAGGCGAATTTTGGAAACATTATCGGATAATAAAAAACAGCAGGAATCTCAGCTACTCACTTTTGTTTTTTAAAATAATGACAAAAGACGTGTGAAAAATTGTATGTTACAGAATAAATTTAATCACAATTATTAAACGAGTACTAGTTGAAAAGTATAAATGCGCATTTCTTTGCGTTTCTCGCTCATAGAATCTGATTCAGATTACCTTACCAAACGCAGTGTATGAACTGTTGTTATCCGAATTCTTATCATCGTGGAACCTTCAGTTTTTAACGTAGAAGTTCAACATCCACCCACACCCTTCACTCTTTCTATTTCTATGTTGTTTTAAGTATAAATACCCATAACAGATCTTTTTTTTCTTCAAAGAAATGTTTCATTGACCGAAAGACAATTCATCTATCTGGTGAAGTATCACTGTTCTGCAAAAGGAGTACTGGTAACGATCATTCATGTCTCATAACATGGTATGTGGCTGTTCTAAAATTAGGTAGACGAAGTTCAGAATCCCTTTGCCGTGATGCAATCTTCAGTTTCTGCTTTATTATCTCTTTCCCCTACCCCCCCCTCTCTCTCTCTCTCTCTCTCTCTCTCTCTCTCTCTCTCTCTCTCTCTCTCTCTTTCTTTCTTTCTCTCTCTCTGTCTTTCTGTCTATCTCTCTCTCTCTCTCTCTCTCTCTCTCTCTCTCTCTCTCTTTCTCCCTCTCTCCCTCCTCTCTCTTTCTGTGTCTCCTTCTCTCTCTTTCTTCTCTCTCTCACTTTCTCCCCCCCCCTCTCTCTCTCTCTCTCTCTCTCTCTCTCTCTCTCTCTCTCTCTCATACAATCGTCTCTCTCTCTCATACAATCGTCTCTCTCTCGCCCTCCTTCTCTCTGTTTTTCTTCTTATCTATCTTTATTTTTTCTTGATATCTTTTCCACATCGTGCTCATTCGTATTCACATACGTATTTATGTTATTACTGCAGGTTTTTTTCTATCTGATTTGGTCGACACAACAGGGATTTGGTGGTAGGGGTTCTTGCCCCCCCCCCCCTTCCATCCGCCCCCAAAGTCCCGACCACATACAACACACATAACTCACCAACAAAATTCCACTCATTCAAGCTTTATGCACAAATTAAACATGCCCTGACATTCCTGCGGATGCATTTCCTTTTCACACACACGCACGCTCTCTCTCGCGTGCACACACACACATACATACACACGCACACATAAATACACACAGACACACTCACAAACAAACATACACATGCTCACACACACATTTCCCTTCCTCCCCGCCTGGACATTGAGCCTGAAAGAACTTGGTTTACAAAAGAAGCACTGACACCTCCAACCCTTCGTGATCCTTAATCTCGCTTTTCCACGTAATATGTCAAACTCCCAATCCACCCCCACCACAGTGACAGACGCACATACATTATACAGTTAACGCCATTAGCAAATGAACCTTTTTGACTCCCTATTTTTTCCGGAATTGATGTGCAGTGTCGTTCCCAGAGCCTGATTTGTCATCTATTCCCCAGTGACTTATTCTGTTTACTTTATTGCGTTTTACGGCATGCATCCCGTCTGTAGAACAGTTATGACACCGATTGTCGAACCAAATGAGGGTTACACAATACATTCTCTTTAAAGATCACTTTAAAAAATTGAAGGTGCTTTACTCCCCTATCAACTCATGAAGATAATTGATTATTGAGGGGGAAATGTATTTTCTAAAAGAAATGAAATGAGATTGAAGTTTTTGTTTCTGTCTCGGGAATTGCTGAAATGAATAACTATTCTCAGTTCATAACGTTCGGCAAACAATATTTGAGCTCAACAGCATGGCCAGGCAACAGGTGCAAAAAACAATACACACGTAAATGTAATATTTTCTATTTTTGGAGACAGCTTCTAAAGGCAGCCAACCTGTTCCGAAGGAAATAAATCGGCTTCTTATCAGGTTAATATTTCAAGTTTGGATATTATCACTGTAAAACTTATGTACTTTCGGGAAAGTACGCACTACGCTTTAGTGGGTCATTTCGTTAGTCGGCATCTCATGTCCTTTCCAAAGCCTAAGCTCAGTTTGCATGAGTGACAATTTCATTCATCATTTTTTAAAAAGAAAAAGGCTTTAAAAAAAAATGCGTTGTCTCTGTTAAATGTAGGTGTAGTACTTCCCTATCAACACAAAGACGAAGATAGTCGATAAAATTCTTCCCTCACGGGAATCGAACTCAGGTCTTCTGCGGGGGATGGCAAAGAGCCTAACCGCCACACCATAATATAGGCCGTTTAAAAAAAAAATCAACCCCCCCCCCAAAAAAAAGTCACTATCTTTGAGTCTATAACAAAAAAAATTGTCAGTTTGTTGATGTTATATATTTCTTGATCTGGTTGTCGTCTTTCTTGCAATTTTTACTGTTCACATCAGATTAGCGCAAAGACGTTCTCATTTCTCGAGGAGTTCATAAAGATAGCAATAATGGAATACAGAAGCAGGGGTATCACGCCACTGTATCTATTTGTTTAGTATAGGGTTTTACGGCGCTCGCAACTGCATAAGGTCATATGAGCGCGCGGGACACACCAAATACTTTTTCGTTGGTAGGAAATTTTGAATTTTGCCCGGGTGGCGGCCGAAGCCTACTCTTATCGATTTTAGACCGCCAAGGGATCTTTAACGTGCGCAACTTGCACACGGGCCCTCCGAGATTTTTCGCCCTTGTCCGAGAAGGCTAGGTGTAGATCTTTCCTACCAGAAGATCAGGGGTGTGGTAGAAAGACAGCTGTAAGAAGGAGTCAAGGAGTAACAGTAGAAAGGCTGCAGAAAGAGTCAGGAGCCCAGAGGAGGGGCAAGGGAGGTGAGGGGGTGGGGGCAGAAAGAGGAGACGAAAGCAGACGACAGAATATTGCTAGAGAGCAGGAACTGTATCTATATCAAACTGTTAGCACATGAGTGGAATACTTGTAAGGAAGAAGAGATTCAAACGCAAAAGCGGTCTTGCCATTTAATAAAGTTATTCAACAAAAATAGGAGGGAATTCAAGAACGATAGATAGATAGATAGATAGATAGATAGATAGATAGATAGATAGATAGATAGATAGATAGATAGATAGACAGATAGATAGATAGATAGATCCATAGATAGATAGATAGACAGATAGATAGATAGATAGATAGATAGATAGATAGATAGATAGATAGATTGATATCAACGTGTGACGCTTGGTATCACACACCCATTCGTACAGACACTACTTACATAGTCTTCTCTCTGAATGGTACTTACTTGTTTGCTAAGATTTTCGGGATCAAGGCCCTCAAGGTCATTGCTGCTTGACAGGTTGCTATGGAGACTCACCGCACTTGGAACCGTGCGCATGTCACCCAGATCTGCAGAGAGACAAGGGAGAAAAAAATGTACAGATTTTACCTCCCTTTGAAACACTGTATGGTTCTCCATGATCTCCAAATTTCAAGTCCACCGATAGCACTGAGACATGGACATTTAAAAAAAAAGTTTGGTTATAAAGAAGAGCAACTGTCCACGCAATGATGACCATAGAAATGATGGCATAGGAAATAGCAACATGGTAGTTTCCTTTCTATATGGAAGTCTTACCAGTGCTTACATATTATACTAGAACAGAAAAGGGGATGAACGTTTAATGGTATTTGAGCTTGTCAATCTTCAAGCCACAAGAGATTTTTTTTTCTTGTCGAATGAATTAGATATCAATGAACGACCCCCTCCCCCTCCCACCACCTACAAAAAAGAGAGAAAAGAGAAAGAAGTTGGAAACGCGAAAACGAAAACAACAACAGTACCATCAACAACAACAAGAGCAGCTTGTTCGTTTGAGAAAAGAGAGCCACATCGGCATAATAAAGATCATTTTCATTAATTGCTTGAACCCCCCCCCCCCCCCACAACAACCCAAGAATAACAGACAGAAACAACAGTGGGTAAACAAGAAGTTAGACCTGTAGGTGAGGCCCACAAGCCACGCGTGACATCAAGAAATCAGCCTTGCAAATGAAACCGATGAAGAGTCGATGCCAAAAACATCTTTATTTTTATAACAAAAGTAGGATTGAAAACAGGAATGCACTATTTGGGGCAGAGCATTAAAAAAATTAATCTGTAAACAAAACAGTAATCACTTGGGTTAACAGTGACAGACAACCTAACCACCGAGTTTAAAAACCTCTGATCAATTTAGCAAAACCACGATAAAGCGCTACCAGGCGCACAGGGCATCCATATTTTATTAAACACATCGCCTGTAATTACAGTTGATTTGACTGTCGACACATTCCTCCGTCCCCATGCCCTCTCATTTCACCAAGTCACTATGTGTATAAACTTTAGCTAGCTCGGTATGTGGCTATCCATATAGCTAGATCATTAGTCAGAGCACAATGTACTGTTTATGAGTTGCTACTTGTATTTGTAAAGCTCTCAGAGCCTAACTTCTTTAAACGGGGTTGAGAGCTAATACACAATATATTATTATTATTATTATTATTATTATTATTATTATTATTATTATTATTATTATTATTATTATTATCATCATCATCATCGTCATCATCATCATCATCATCATCATCATCATCATCATCATCATCATCATCATCATCATCATCATCATCATCATCATCATCATCATCATCATCATCATCATCATCATCATCATCATCATCCGTGGATATATTTTAATTCTTACACGATCACTGAGTCTATGAATCACGGGACGTTTTCTTCTCCTGTTGTTGACAAGAACCTTGTCACCACTCATTATGATAGCGGCCACGTCTGGTCAAGAACACATTAAGGGCAACAGTAAGATTGAAAATAAATCATTAAGGGAGCAGGTCCGACCGTACCAACCACCAGCTTGCGAAAAGTCAGAGGTTCTTTACCCAAAAACCCTGCCCAGATCACTACGATTCTTCTATTAATCCATTTTTAGGTTTAAAAAAAACATTCAAATTACCAGTGTAAAAGACAAACCCAATAAAAATGTGTGGTCCAATCACATTGGGCTTAAACAACGACATAACTCACCTCTGACATCATAGCATATTCTATATAAATATCTTTTAAAATAGGCGGGGAAAACGAGAGGAACAAAGGAAGGCGAACAGAAGCAGAACATTAGCAATACCTAAACGAGAGGTGTCAAACTTAATCGCTGAGGGAGCCAAAGTAAAACTAAATCGTTCTTAAAGTTGAGGGTCATGCTGAAATAATACTCATTTGAACATTTTTGCTTTTCAATAATATGAATTAGAATACACAAAAGTTAAAATAATAACAAAACAAGCTATACTCATTTCTGTTCTAATGCCGATTTGTCAGAGTTGGATGTTTGACATCTTTTCTTGACAACCATCTTATCATGGTTTAATTTCCAGTAAGATTCTGTGTTATGAAGATTCTCAGGATGGACTGCCGAAGATTTCTCTCGAAGCCCAGATATACTAATTGTTCGTCGGGCCGGAGACGGCCAGCGAGCTTTGAGTTTGATACCGGTGATCTTAACAGTCCATCATTCTGTATAGGGGCAATGACACAACGCTAAAGCTAGGACACAAAAACAAACACAACCCAGACATCATGATGAATTACACTGAAATACCTTTTTATTCAATGTCCTTATCATACTGACATTATACTATCGTCTGATTTCTTCTCTTCCCCTCCTCTTTTCTGGTATCACGGTGCAACAGTGGTAGGGTCTGGCATCGACTCATCAATCACGCGAATTAAATCCTATTAGTCCCACCCAATCTCTCAACTGTTTTGTTTCAAGGTATATTTTGGTCACAAATTCGATAAGAACCAAACAATGTTAATGAAGTACAAGGCCCTGCTCCTGCCAGACGGGCCATAAGCCATATTCATTCAATTATCAGAACATATTGTACCCTGAATGAAAATTTATGATTTCCAAACATAGCGGGATTACTGAAGGTAAACAGAGGGATGCAAAACGCTTTGGGGGAGACCTGGGGGGTTGCGTGGCCTGCCTTCTCTCAGAGGTGGCTTGGATTTCATCTCACTTCACGAGGTGAGGGGGTGGGTGGGGACGGTGGCGGGGCGGGCGGGGTGTACAACAGGATCGATCAATAGCAAACTCACAGCATATGGACACCAGGCTCGTGGCCTTCCCCGCCATCACGCCTCGTTTTTTAAAATGTAGGTTTTAAAAAATAGTTTTGGTTAGAGTTTTAAGACATTTGCAACACAATAAGGTTATATAAGTGCCTAATATTAGAGGTGTTACAAGAGAGTTAAAAAAATGTTTAAAAGGAGGAGAGATCAGGGCGATAGATGTTCGATTAGAAAAAAAGGAGCAAACTACACCAGAGCTCGCATCAACCACCTGCTTAGGTGTTTTTACGTCCCCATCAGCTCAATTTAGATCATGCATGAGGCGAACTTTGACCCTTCCCGACAGGCTCAAACTACCTACCAATTCTGGCAAAGAGGGATACAACGAGGCCATTATAGAGCATAATCGCATTCAAAAATAGATCATTTTGGTCTTAGATATCGTTCTTCTTATTGTGGCACACGGTTTTAGTTAATAACAGGACTTGAAAATTTGAGTTCAGAATCAAATCTTTTTCACAACAATAGCTTGGTCTAGAGACAGAAATATTGTAGTGCAAATGCAGCCCCCTAACCGATGGCTATGTCAACTGATTTCTGATAAAACTTCCATTTAGGCGCTCCTCATTCTACTCCCTCTTCCGCCGTTATCCACGTATGATGCATTTTGAGGCAATGACGATACAAGAGGCAAACTAACGACGGGGGACTCTAGATGAGGATCAAGTTTCTTTATCATTTTGCGAAATCGTGCGGCCATATCAACAGCGCAGATGAGGGAAACCCAACGTGTCCGTTTGTGTCGTAATAAGTAGCAGCCGGAACTTATAATTTGAAAACCTCTTTCTCTCTCTCTCTCTCTCTCTCTCTCTCTCTCTCTCTCTCTCTCTCTCTCTCTT